TGTGATCCTGTGATCCAAATTGAACAATTTTGGTACCATTCGATTCGTCTCATCGAGACGAATCGAATGGTGCCAAACTCATTCAATTTGGACCAATAGATCCAGAGTTATACCAAAATTCTCTTAACTCCGCCACAATACCCATACTTACCTTATATTTCATTTTAATTTGCTACAAGAATTAAGGTTCTGTAGATTATAAAAAATTTACTAGTTTAAATAAATAAATATATGCAATCAAAATGTGATTAACAGATAATTCAAAGTTATATTTATTGCAAAGTGCTATAATTCATGTAGCTACATTATATATAATAATTGTGGTTTATATATAATTTTTTTAATCTAATTCAATAAATTTGCTTAAGCCAAATAAGAAGAATTTCAATTGTATTGTGATTCAAAAACATCTGACCTAATTCAATACATATTGTTTTTAAAATTTCAAAAAGTTTTATTTGATTGGGCTTGGTTCAAAAAAAAGTTTCTTGAAAAATTTATTATTTGTTAATCTAATTAATTTAAATCAATATATTAAATAGATATTAAATTTTCTTACTATTCAAGTTTATTCAAAATTCTATTACAACTTAAAATTGATAAAATTTGATTTATATAAAGTAATTAAGATTGATAATTATATATTATTCATATCAACCTATAAATGATATATAATAATTAAAAAAAAATAATAATAAAAAGATGCTTGAGAAAAAAAAATTAGACTTTATAATATTATAAATAGAGTTTCCTTATCCAAAAAAAAAAAATACTACTTATTTGCTTTAATACAGTTTCACTCTAATACAAATATTTTATTAATATATGTATTTAAAAAAAATTTTCTTATAACTTAAATTTTTTATTTTTTCTTACTTGGAAAAATATCACCAATATCATGATGATTTTTGTTTAAAAAAATTAAATGCTCAAGTGTAATAGATAAAAGGTTCATTTTTTTAATAAATATAATATTTCTAGCTTTACTATATAGCCTCTTACTAGGTGTTGAAGTGGCTAAAATAGCTAGATATTTTCATGCCAAATAAGCTAGAACTGGAAAATAATTTTGATTATTTTTCTACTCAAATAGGCATTAGTTATAAGAAATTTCTGGCATTCTAATATAGTCAGAAATTTCATTCATATGTGTATTATTTGATCGATATATAGTAGCTAATAATTTGCTTGTAGGCCGTAATAGTTGCTTAATATATAATATATTTATTTGACTTTGGTGTTGTCTATATACTTCATGCAATAAATTGTAAGTTCTAAACCCTAGAGATTTTGAAGTAAAACTCAATGTTTTGTATCAAGAATCTAATAATGCAGCCAATATTTCTTCTTCTGATAGCACTTGCCAATAATAGTTAATAGTATTGTACAATGCCATTTTTACACTTTTTTCAATATTCATATAATTATAAAGAATATTTGATTCATCATCTATTTGATCATTATTATTAAAAGCACTTTTATCATTATCATAATTTATTTCTCAGAGTACAAAATCATCAAAAAGTATAAGACTATTAGTAATCACTTTAATTGCACTATA